TTGAAAAAACACAAAATTCGCGATACTTTTTGAACAGACCTCGTACAACACGTCATAAGATTAATTTTAATTTAAGAACTGTCTTATATTGTAACAAATGTCAAAGTCAACTTATGGAAATAATTAAATAAATAATGAATAAAAGTAGATTTTATATATTGTTTACTTTACGGACTATGTAGAAAAGATATTATTGAACAATTTGAGAAGAAAGAGAGTTAATCGTAAAAATTAAATATTAGGTTGGGGAAAAAGAAATCCATTATTTTTTCGGTAGATGGCTGTAATAATCGATATCTCGTTAAGTATCGATCAAACAATTTCAGATTTATGCTCGTTGGAAAGGTGACATTTCGCACTAAAAAATTCTTTTAATGTTTTTTGTTTGGTCTATTCAGTTGTGAGTTACAAGGTGTTAAAAATGGAATTCAACAAAGAGAAAATTCAGTACATTTTACAGTTTTTCTTTGATAAAGGCGAAAATGCAAGCCAGGCGGCTGTAATTGTGAATGGTGTTTATGGTGCCGATACTGTAACAGCCAATTACGTGCAATTTTTGTTTCGTCGATTCCGTTCAGGTATTTTTGATGTTAAAGATGCATCTCGCACAGGTAGGTCCGTCGTCGAAAATGTCGATAAAATCACAGAAATAATCGAAGTTGACCGGCATGTTAGCAGTCGTAACATCTTCCAGGAGCTAAAGATCGACCATAAAACAGTTTTAAACCATTTACAGAAAGCTGGATTCAAAAAGAAGTTCGATGTTTGGGTGCCACACCAATTAACGCAAAGAAACATGATGGATCGAATTTCCATCTGCGAAGCCTTGGCCAAACGGAATGAAATCGATTCATTTCCTAAATGGATGGTGACTGGGGATGAGAAATGGGTCGACAACGTTGTGCGTAAACAATCGTGGTCAAAGCGCGGTGAAGCAGCTCAAACGGTGGCTAAACCAGGATTAACGGCCAGGAAGGTTCTGCTGTGCATTTGGTGGGACTGGAAAGGAATCATTTATTACGAGTTGCTTTCATATGGTCAAACATTAAATTCGAATCTCTACTGTCAACAACTGAACCGTTTAAAGCTAGCGATTGACCAGAAATGGCCAGAATTGGTCAACAGGAGAGGTGTTGTGTTCCATCAGGACAGGCCACACATGTCTATAGTGACTCGCCAGAAACTCCGGGAGCTTGGTTGGGAAGTTTTGATGCATCCACCATATAGTCCGGCACCAAGCGATTACTATGTTTTTCTTGCATTGCAAAACTTCCTTAGTGATAAGAAATTGGTATCAAGAGAAGATTGTGAAAATCGATTACTTGAGTTTTTCGCCAATAGGGACGAAAACTTCAATGAGAGAGGCATTATGAAGCTACCTTTAAAATGGCAACAAATTATAAAACAAAACGGTGCATATTTGACTCAAATCGGACAATCCAAAACATGTTAAATAAAGTCTTGAAGTTCACGTAAAAATAATAGATTTCCTCAACCTAATATCATAGAAAAAATGTATTTTAGTATAGTTAAAAATGTGTAAATATTAAAATATATAAATTACTAATAATGGTCTGCTTATATACACAGTTGCTCCCCTACGCCTTCGTGTGTGGTCCTAGATTTAACTAAGAAAGGAACTACGCACGTAAACACTGATCAATAGAGTTTTGATTCTCTTCATCAAATATCTCCTTATATAATAAGTTTAGACCAAAGGTGTCCTATCATTTTTATACGTTAAATTAAATTGTTCTCTTTCTAACACTAAATTGAGCTCCTTCGGATTTTTTAAGAAAAATACTATATTCCATTTAAAAAATGCCGATGAAAAAAGTTGTTAGAAATGGTTCTTTTGGAGAAAGACAGCGAGAGCGGAAGAGAGAGTGAGAAATCGAGAGAGATTTAGGACAAAAGAGCAAGCGAGAGAGAGAGGGGGGAAGAGAGAGACAGGGAGAGCGAGCGACACGCAGGGAGAAAGAGAGAGAGAGAGAGAAAGCATCATTTATTCAGCGCTCTGGGACATATCCCCTCAAGCGCTATATACACAGCAATACGTAATTATTGGTATAGCTACATTATTCAAAATTCGTAAAAGGCTACATATTAATAACAAAACAATCCGTAAACAAGTAATAATCAAAAAGTTTTTCTAGTTTTTCTAGAAAAATACGCAATAGTGAAAATTCGCATAAGAACATAAAGAACAAAATACAATAGCTTCAAAAAAGAACGTGAGCAAACACGGCCCTTCATGGTGTCAAAAAATATTTATCGATAATGTTACTTGTATTCCGCTCAAGGTAGTGTATCAGTCTGTAAGCAGTCCTAAAAGATATTAATACAGTGACCTCCTGAAAGACTCACGTGAGCGTGCGGAACGAATCTCCGTAGGCAATGAGTTCCATAGTAAAGCTGATGTGGTTATAAAAGACCGATTAAAGTGTTCGGTGCAACATTGCAGGACAGACAGAAAATTACCAGAAGCTCTAGTAAATCTGCTAGATATAACAGATCGGAACGATAGCAGTCTAATGATATAAGCAGGACGTTGATTTTGTATAATCTTATATATTTGGCAGCCTACAAAGTACCACCTGCGAGAAGCCGTCCTGAGCCAACCTAGCTTATTATAATAGAATGTTATATTAGGTGAAGTAAAAAGTTCTGAGCGTTTTCCGCTAGATGTCTTTAGTGAGCCATATCTCACGATGTATACATCACTTCGGGTCATACTATACGTCGATTTAAAGGTGACATTACGCTTCAAAAAAAGTTCTGTGACAGTTTTGTGTTTGGTCAAGGCAGTTGTGTATTACAGCGTTCCAAAATGGAGGTGAAAGAAGAGAAAATTCGATACATTCTTCAGTACCACTACAACCAAGGTGAAAAGGCGGAGTAGGCGTCCAAAAAAATTTGTGCTGTTTATGGACCCAATACAGTATCGAATGCAACAGCAAAGCGGTGGTTCCAACGATTCCGTTCTGGTAATATGGACGTCAAAGATGAGGCACGCTCTGGCAGGCCAATCGTCGAAAATGTCGATAAAAGCATGGAAATCGTCGAGTCGGTCCGGCATGTGAGCACTTATTCCATTGCCCAGGAACTGAAGATTAGCCAGAAACTCGTTTGGAACCATTTGCATAAGGCTGGTCTCAAGAAGAAGCTCGATGTATGGGTGCCACACGAATTGACGCAAAAGAACTTTTTGGACCGAATTGTTGCCTGCGATTCTTTGCTGAAATGTAACGAAATCGACCCATTTTTGAAGCGGATGGTAACTGGTGATGAAAAATGGGTCACATACGAGAACAACAGCCGAAGAAGATCGTGGTCCAATCGTATAGTCCAGACTTGGCACCAAGCGATTATCACCTTTTCAAGCATTTGCAAAATTTTCTTGATGGTACAAAACTGGCCTCAAGAGAGACTTGTGAAAATGAACTGGTCAAGTTTTTTACCAATAGGGATGAGGACTTCTTCAACCGCGAAATTATGAAATTGCCTTCAAAATGAACAAAAATTATCGAACAAAACGGCGCATATTTGATCAAAATCGGATAATCCTAACTATGTTAATTTCATCGTCNAACTGGTCAAATTTTTTACCAATAGGGACGAGGACTTCTTCAATCGTGGAATTAATCGCGGAAATTGCCTTCAAAATGGACAAAAGTTATCGAACAAAACGGCGCATATTTGATCGAAATCGGATAATCCTAACTATATTAATTTCTTTGTCGAAATAAAGCGAAAAAACGCTCAGAACTTTTTACTTCACCTAATATGTTCAAATCTACTCACGCCAAAAATTAACCTAATACAAGTGTTTATTACTCTATCCAGGCACACCGAATTTTCCATGGTCAAGTCGGTTAGAGCAGCACAGCAATAGTTCAAATAAGGGTAAATAAGATATATTATTAATTTCTGCCTGAGTTCGACAGGCAGTAAACATCTGTGCAGCTTCAGCTGGTGAAGGGTCCTGTATGTTTTGTTTACTACATTGGTTATATGCTGGCCCCAGGCAAAAGCGCTGGTAATAATAACACTCAGATATTTAACGCTATCCGAGAAATCAATATTCTCATACCACTATGCCCTCCAAAGACCTATAATCGATGCTGCCGAGATGTCTGGCTGTGCTAAAAATTATAGCCTGAGTTTTGTCGGCGTTCAACATGAGACAATTCCTTTTAGCCCACATGATTATTTCCGCTTTGTCCTCATTTAATCTAGAGACGCAATCTTAGATGTCATATAGTTTACAGTGCATGTATATATGAAAATCGTTTGCGTAAAAATAATATCTGCTGTACTTGAGAATATTCTTGAAATCAATGAGGTACAGAACAGACAGAAGCAGATCCAACATCGAGCCCTGAGGAACACCAGCACCAACATTCAAAAACGAAGAGACTTCACCGCTATAAGGATCTCGCACGGCGTGCGTGCGCTTAGTCAAATATGACCTGAACCAGTCGATAGTTGACGATGAGAAATTCAAAACCTCGAACTTCCTTAATATGGTCCGAAATTTCACTCTATCGAAAGCATTTGAGAAATCGAAGAAGACCGACATCGTGACCATTCTCCCATCCGCCGCACGCCTAATCTCGTCAAGTACCCCTATCTGGCACGTATGCGCAGAGTACCGCGTCTATATACAGATTGACAAGGATCGAACAATCCATGGTCCTTTAAATATCGAGACATTTGCTCCTTTACACATGACTCAAGGATTTTAGAGATAACTGGAAGTATTGAGATAGGTCGATAATGTTGCACCGTGACAGGAGCGGCGACCTTAAGAATCGGGCAGATGAGGGCAGACTTCCATTTAGTTGGAAACACCCCATGCATGAGAGAGAAGTTTAAAAGTTTCTCAAAAATCGGCTTAAGGTAAGGCATCATCATCTTTAGCACGCTCAAGGACAGTCCGTCGGCTCCAACTACATTGGACTTTATCCTTGAAGAAGCCCTGCAGACATCCGTTGGTGTGATGTATCGCCAGTGAAATTAGTATTCGTCAAAATCACTGCCACCGCCGACAACTGGCACCACCACAAGATTATCCGCAGATGACAAAGTCTGAGCAAAGTACGTATTTAGCTCGTCTACTGTGCTTAAAAGATACCTGTCTGACTCCCTTGACTTGACGAGGCCAAGATGTCGCAGTTTAGTCCAAAAATCAATCGAATCTTGCAGGTTAAACGCGGCAAGGTAATATTTCCGTTTAGCAGATCGCACCATATCCTGGGCTTTGTTTCTCAATGCTCTACATTTCTCATAGTTATTATGGTTTCTCCTTCTTCTCCATTCACGTCTCGCCTTGTTCCTTTCATGCTTCACCTCCCTGACATTCGTGGTGATCTATGGGGCAGGAACGCGGTTGCAGTGTATCTGCTGCAGGGGTGCATGTCTGTTTAGGCAGTCTAGTAGGTGTTCATTAAAAAACTCCATCTTATCATTGATGTCCTGGGAGTTAAAAAAATAATTCTAATCAGTGGCGAGGATATCCGACACTAACACGTTTTCCTTAAAATTTCTGAAATTGCGACACGTGACCAATCTCTCACCACGACGCCGAATTCTAATGTTGTAATCTATGTGAATAAGGTCGTGCACTGGCAAGAAAGGAACGTCGTGCTGCCCAAACTTGACTATCTTGTCCCTATTATCAAAAAGACAAGGATCGATAAACGAATTTGAATCTCTCAGGTCATGTGTAGGCACATCGAAAGGCACAATATAAAGGTCCAAGGGGACGGCGAAAAACCGCAGTTTAATGCTGTCATACATTAGTGTTTGTCAACAAATCAGCGTAAAAATCTCTCATAAATATCCCATGCCGGTAATTAGACAGTACATCGAGTATCGAGTTCTCGCAAATATCTATGAAACCACAGTGAGGGGGTCGATAAACCACAGCTAATAATAGTTTGGGTGCACCTTTGCAAAATATCCCCGCAAATAAAAATTCGGGTATGCGTGAGCCAGATTCATTAGAGTGATTTAGAATCATTGCGCTCATTGAAATATGCAGATAAAAGCCAGCACTGTCACCTGCTCGTTACGTCTATCATGTCTGAAGACGTGTATCCTTAAAGGCTCACTAGGTTATTCAAATAATGTGATTTTAGCTACGTCTCGGACGTACAAATAATGTAATAATTTCGTTCGAGGAAAAAGTTCCTGAATTCATCAAGATGCACTGCTAAAGATTGACAATTTACATGGCATAGACACAGATAATCGAAAGTGTTTGAACTATCCATGATTAATGTGAGTTATTTTGTCCTAAATTCTCCTGCTTAGGATTGTGCATTTTTTAGTATTAAAAACAGAGTGCACATGCTCTGAATCAGGAAAAAGACCATTTCCACACCTAGACAGCGAATCTTCCTCAGGACATTCTCTGGCTTCATGGGCCTCAGAACAGTGGCCACATATCGGTCTGGACTTACATTGTTTAGCCAGGTGTACAAAAAAAGATATTTGTAACGTTGCAAAATATTTACAAAATTGTTCAAAAAATTGCAGGCCGAAAAAAGCAAATAAATCTTGCTATTCTTTAACAATAGGTTACGAACTTCAGGACTTCTATAACGCAATTTGTAGTTGACTTTCCCGGTCTGTTAGGGTATATATATACAACTTTAATATGACTTCCGTGGTCGCTGCTCAAGTTCAAGGCTACGAGTTCATTACGAATTTCGTTCGATGTTCGTCGGAACGCCATAAACAATTAGTCTCAATGTTCGCGAATAAACTCTCTCAAATTAATGTTTGACGTTCTCAACGATCTTAAGTCCTGCCTTCTTTAATTCGGGATGTTTCTTGATCCTCTCGATATCTGGCATTTATTTATATTTATTTATATATATTTATATATATTAAATAAATTAGCATTTATTTTGATGCCATTTTTCCTAGCATAGGAGATTTTGTTCACTTTTAGAGAGAGATCGGACGGCTTCAAAACTTTGCAGACAACATCCTTCGTGACCCGTGAAGACGCAAAACTGTACGCTTCCTTGTTATCGGGGACGACAAGGAAGCTTGTCGACTTAGAAACATCGACAGTAGGACCACGGGGTATTTTAACCCTACGTGCCAATGGCCTGGTAACCGACGCATACGACGCACTCTGTCGGCCATTAGTTTCACTGCCACGAGAGAAAGCTGACTCCATCCGTAATTCCTCTTTGTATTTATCGAAAACTTCAACAATAGCATCTTTGATGTGCGACGAATCAAATCCAGCCGAGGTAGATCTCTCTTGCATTAAATTCGACAAGATGTTTGATACTTCCATAAATACGTCTTTACATGAACGAAAAGCCGATTCTATCGTAACTTTCCTATCGGCGGTCTCCTTGCTTGTCAGAAGTAGTTTGGATAGTTTGTCGTTCTGCTCATTTACCAATTTTTTGAGAGAGTTTATTCGCAAACAACATGCTTTTCCCATGGCAGCGACCTTCTCGGATACGTACGACACATTAGCATTGCTTATCTTGGATCGCATACATAAATCGGTATCGTCCGTGTCAGTATGTGCATCAGGCAGCGAAACAATCTTCCTCGACGTATTGTAAACAAAAGTCAAACGGTGATACCCAAATCAATCAATCGTCGACCAGAAATCCTTGTTAGCATAAGAGCGTATGCATCGATAATATGCAAGTCACTCCAGAAATCAGCTCAACCGGCTAGCCCAGGCGACACAAAAAAAGAACAAAATCTCACCAATCCAGAAGACCTAGCGATCAGTACGTGCACCAACAAGTCCAGTAAAGGGGCACTAGACAATGCAACTGAAAAACTGACGTCCCGAGAGGCAAAACGCGGCAGTAAACCAGGCCTAAACAGGAGCATAACAAGAAGACGTCCATTCGACTCACTTGCCTCGACTTGAGCAAGAGAGAGAGAGAGAGAGAGAGAGAGAGAACCTGCCCGACGAGGAGGACGATCGTGCAGGAGCAGCACCAGGAGCCAGTCGCCAGGAGCCCCGAACTTTGTAAGACTGCCCATCCGCATTTCAATAAAATTGTTTCTCGTGGATCGTCCGTTCGGTCGATTGCCGTGCAGCCTCTCCGACGGATTTGGGAGGAGTGGCGATACACCTAGGCTAAATAAAATCCATTGGTGGTTGCGTCGGGGTCGTGCTGGGGGATCGCTTCCCGCGTTTGTTACCGTATAGTACCGTTTTCTTCACCTTGGCTTAGCCGCTGCTCGAAATCAGACATACTATCGGCGAATCTCGCGAATCCACCATATCCTTGGTATCGGGAAAGAATAGAGTTTGTAATTGCGAGGCGCTACCGTTTAGCGCATTCTGTTGTCGTTATTGCCAAGAAATAATAAAGGCAACCACTGATTTATCATAACCCTTGGTCCTGTGCTTTCGCTCCTTTGTTTCGACATGATACGACGAACCACCCTGCCTCCGATTCAACCTAAATAGTGAGCTACCGGTCCCGTTCGGGATAAGCTTAGATCGCGAAAAGAGACGTATCGGATCCGAAGCCCGGGGAGGCTTCGTCGATCACACCGGCTTTTTTTGAGTGCGGTAAGTCCGTATCTGACGCCCATTCGTTTCAGTATCATTTGTAACGAGGAGTCGCTCTCGCGTTCCGAGTTCACCCGGCGATTTTGCACCGGCGATTCTGATACATCCGAATCAAGAAATCCGGTCGCAATGCGGACAGTGTCGAATCAGTCCGAGACGTATCGCCATGCTTTGTCGACTGCACAAAGATTGGCGTGCAACGAGGAGAGGCCCCGTGCGTCATCCGTCACAGTATATACAGGGTGTCCCAGACCACCCGTCTCACCCGATTTTTTCGTAAACGCGACATTTTAAAGAAAAATATTTCAGACAAAAGTTTTGTGACTTCGAGGGGCACATAAG